AGAAATTTTTTAATATGATAGATTGTATATAAACATATCAAATACAATGTTAAAAAATTGTAAACCTTTATTAGATTAAATACAATCTCTTTACTATATACCAAATACTTGTAAAGCCAAATACTGTATATAGTTAAAGCAGATCTTAATAAATAGAATCATTTTTAAAAAAAAAGTTTTTAAACATATTATAGATGTTATTCGTATGACAAGAAATATATACCGCATATTAGACTTTTTTTTTAAATAAAGTTCTGTATATACATTTTAAGTTTTTTTTTTATTTTATTATGTTTTAGAAATAATTCTGCAAGTGTATAAAATTTAAAGATGCGCCAAGAGAGGGTTTTTCCGTGTTAACAATTTTACAAATGAAAAAAATTAATAAAATCTAGAAACAGACTAACATCCTACGTATTAACATAAAAGGATTTTTTTATTCAAAGTCAATTTATTTGCAAATAACGGCATTACAGTAATTCGACATATATACGTATGTAATTTACATATCAGACATGTAAGATGATACGTACAGGGATGTCACGGGACAGCCTTTGGACAAAGTTTGGCTTGAACATTTTTAAATATTAAAATTACTCAAAATTTTATTAAGATAACCTATTTCAACTTTCTACGTAAGTAAAAATGGTTAGAATATATAATCATGGTTTTTTAAAATAGATTTTTAAATTACAAAGCTTAGATGAGCTTTGGGCACCTGGACGTTTGGACGTTGGACATGCTAAAAAGGCTTTGGACATAAAAATGTACATCCCTGTGTACGTACGGCCGTATAAATACAACCCGTATCACGTTGTTTTATCAAAGAATTTAAGTGGTTTCGCATTTTTTTTCCACCTGTAACACGAAGCTTTATACGACTAAATTGTACAATAAACAATTTACACTAACGGCAACATTGAAACATCATTATATAAAAGCTTTCTACTACCGGTACATTGAAACCCGTTCATTAAACAAATTACAAAAAAAGTTTAGTTAGAAATGATTCACGCAATACTCTTGATTTTCTGAATTCAGCGTAGTTTGTACAACGACAGTAAATTTTAATACCATTTCTTCCAACATACATAACTTGAAGGATTATATCTTTTGTTAATTGGTGATTTTTACATGTAAAACATGCAGTAATGTGATCGACTTGACCTATCATTTACGACCAGAGAATCACTTGTAATCCAATCTTATTATTTGGTATCACAGATCACACATCTAAGATTTAAATAATTAAGGTGTAATTTTTGAACCGGTCTTTCGGGTCAAATTTGTTGATTAAACAATTATGTAGGAAGGCTATCAGAAGGTATGATCATCTCTCCACAACGATAATTCTTCCATCAAAGCACACGTATTTTATAAACATAATTTGATCTAGAATCATAGCTTCTTTTTATTCAAATAATGTTTTCTAATGGTTCTCTTAATCTGAACACGTCTGAAAATGATAATCTTTCAAACTTAGATAAGTCTGAATCAAATACCAAGCTTTCAGAAAATGCTGAGGATCTTGAAGGATCTACAACAAATCTAATAGGTATTCCTCATAATGTCGTGAAGGCGAAAATATTTTCGAATTAAGACAATTCAGTAGTCCTGGTTTGCTTATAAATTTACTAATTAAGACTTAAATTCGTCTACAGTAGTAGATCCCGTCATGTCAATTACTGATGAATGTGAAACTCTTAACCTTGAAACTTCCTCCCCTATAAAATCAAAACGAATGCCATACCGTCGTCCTATTTCTACTGCTAATGCTCAACCACCAAAGAAGGGCATATTGAAACCTATCTCACAATCTAATGCTCGATCGATTTGGAAAAGTGACTGGTTCTCTACATTTAATGCGCGTCTTCAAAACGTCACAAACTCCACTGCTATGTCTACGAATTCAACCTCTACTACTTCTTTTTTCACAAATGCATTGAAAAAGCTGAACGCGTCGACATCTTTACCTTTTCAGGAGGATCCGCCGAAAGAAACAAATCCTCAACTGCCTCTAATAACCATTACATCAACTTCTGATCAGGTTTCTCAATCCAATGTTCAATGCCCTCCTGCCTTGTCAAATAGCAACCTCCTTACTGCCAAGTCCCTTAAACGAGTTCGTTTTTCAGTCACGAAATTAACAGATGAGTATCCGCATTCTCCTATTCCAAGTGATAGCGAGTCCAGTGACGAGGAGGAATACGATTTTCATGAATGGGATGAAAAACAGAATCGCGATGCTCAGTCCAAGCCAGAAGTTAATCAAAAAGTTGTCTATACTGCTAAGGAAATGTTACAGTTTTATTTATCAGCATGTAGACTTAGAGAAGAATTTCCTTTAGATAGGCTCGTGGATTTGTTTAAGGTATGTAAAAATAAATAAAAAAATAATTAAATATAATAAAATTCTCATCAATTAATTTTTTTGTTTCAATATATGGGAACGCCCACAGCGAAAACGGGGGATGGGACTATATAATATATAGTCCCATCCCCTGCTTTTATTAATACCCATTATTGATATATTTTCTTATTATTTTCCTTATTATTTTCCTTATTATTTAATAGAAAGCAAATCAACCTGGAGGTTCATTAAATGTAATTGATTTGACAGGTTAGATTTTTCTGATGCGTCTTATCTCAAGTATATTTAATTGTTTTAACATTATATTCTCTTAAAACTGTTTAAAAAGGTCATATACTTGATAGGAAAATCGCTGAGCCTATTGCTGATATACTTACCCTTGAATGCGGACTAGAAAAGTTAATAATGGAGAGATGCGATATTGAAGATGATGTAGGTGAATTTCTTGAAAGATGTTGGAATGATTACTTGCTACTTCTATTTAACTATTTACATTGATCGATCTTTCTTTCTTTTTTTTTTTTTTTTACAGACTCAAAAAATCTTTTGTCACAGTCTACTCGTGAACGATACTGTTTCTTATTTAAATCTTTCTAATAATAGAAGACTTAGATCAAATGGATTCAATTATATTGCTATTTATCTAAAAAAGGTATTGTATAATTTTTCTACATCTTTTTTTTTTTCTTTGTTTCGAAAATTTAAGTCCAATCTATTTTATAGTCTACGACGTTAAGCTATCTTGACCTTTCTGGGACATATATCGATAAAAAATCTGCTACCTTCCTAGCACAAGCTTTAATAGAAGGAAATAATATGTCTGGTGCTGTTTTGGAAACTTTAAAATTAGATGGTTGCGGACTGAAAAATAATGTATTGGAAGTTTTGGGTAATTTTCTATTCACTTATGTTATTTTTATATATTATTATTAACATAATAGCTAGATTTATCATTTAATAAGCTATTTCTTTTTCTGACAATACATAATATCCATATATGATTAAATATAGGTCCTGGTATTCGTCGATCTAATTTACGTTATCTTTCGTTACGATATAATCGTATCAATTATGCTGGTGCTGTTTGGGTCGGTGTAATGTTACGAGACTATGACACTGCAGACGATGAACTGTCTAATCCCGTGATTTCAGAACTAAACGAACCAGCAGGAATACAAGAAGATGGATCACGTCTAAGGAAACACGGTTTAGAAATATTGGATGCCACTGGCAACGACATAAGAGTAATTGTCTTGTGTCTTTTAAAGATTACGACTTTAAAGAATAGTGATTTAGCTAGTTTGTTTCTAGGGTGGTGTTCAATATATTTCACAAGCATTACGGAGGAATAAGAGCCTGAAAGAATTACATTTATCAGAAAATCGCATAGACTTTAAAGGATTGATATTTATTGCCGATGGCATGGTATGTGAACCACTAATGTTTTATATTACTGTATTACTCTTGAATAAAAATATTTTACTTTTAATTTTCTAGAAACACAACTGTCATTTAGGATTGCTTGATATAAGTCGAAATCCTATCGGAGGACCGTCAATCGAAGGTGTATGTAAATTAATAAATATGATTCAATTATCAAATGTATAACTCATTTTTTTATTTTCATTCACTGTAGGTAACCTCTCTTCGCCATGCCTTGTCATTAAATACCACATTGAAAATATTATTTATGTCGAATACACAATTGTCAACTGAAGGTTGATACCTAAAAAAAAAATGGTGGTTTAATGCTCATCTTATATATTCAATAACTCGCAACTTTATCATTTTTAAAGGTGCCATTGCTCTTGCAGAATATCTCCCGGAGACTAAATCATTAGTCCATTTGGACCTTACAGCTAATCCGGATATTGATATCGCAGGCGTCATGGCCTTAGCAGTGTCTATAAAAATGAATTATAGTGTCCGTATTCTGGACGTCAATGTCCAGGTTAGTTGCTAAAGTTGTTAAATGCTATAAACTGGGGTGTTTTTTTTTTTGGGAAAGTAACCCTTCATTCTATCGTCTTTAAAAAAAGCCAAATGATACAGAAGCAGCTGGACTTTCCAGAGATATTCTTCGCACATGTGTTAGAAATACCGAATTAGCACAAAATGGTTTAGAAAATATCGATTCTAACTTTTTATTACCAGATTTTGATACTAAACCACAAAATAATAGGCATGTAGTCAATGGTATGTTTTTCTTCGATGGGCGAGTGTACTTGAATTTTGAAGCTATGAATGACGTAATGATTGCATATTCTTCAGAAATAGGAATTGACATTCGATTAGATAACTTGGACGAAGACATGAGAATTGCTAAGGAATACGTTAAAGTCTTTGATGAAATGTTGTCTAGTGAAGAACAAAAATCCGATTCTCATAATAATATAGAATCGAATGAAGTGATAGAGGTTTGTGGATTTGAATTTGTGATTTTTTGTGTTAAGCCATTTTTTAATATATAACTATTGCTTCTTAGCAATTACATGATCAATGCCAAAAGTTTCAAGGAAAAATAAGATCGTATATTACAGTCGTGATAGAAGAAGAATTACTTGGTTTGTACACCTAATTATGGTTTTGGTTAAAGGGGCGTAGTCGGAGATACAATTGTAGCTTTGTAATATGATCACTGATTACTATACGCACATATGGAGATAATACCATACCAATTATCATACGTATGTACGAAATTCTATATATAGACCTAAAATTCTTGTACTAACACCTCTATTTGATTTTGACCAAGCGTAGCAGCAGCAAAATTTGATGTGTTTATATTCCATCATATTACACAGCTACTTTGATATCTCGACTTCTTGCGCAACTCCTAAGTAATTTGTGGTCTATACTGTTTATTTTTGCTAATTTTTAATTTTTAATCTTGTTATAGAGGGTCTTTTAATTTTAAATGATAATCTTTCATCATCACTTCAAAGATATTCCAAGATGTACAGTACCAATGGCAATTAAACAATTGCGATTATCGCCAAATTTTTTTAAAATTTTTTAAAAAAACTTTTAATATAATTGGCCCGCAATCATATTTAATAAAACTTATTTTAATTATTTTCCTGCTATATTGAATAAAAAAAATTATGTAATTAACTAGGTTATCGTTATATTTTAATTCCAAATTCTTTTCTATTAGTAATTAGAAAATAATCTTGCAGGTGCGATTATAAATCTGTGTTATAATTAAATTTGTTCTGTTAATATTGCACCGGCACGTAAGATTCGAGAGTATATTCATTTTGATCGATTTTTACTGTAATTCACAATTTTCTGACATAAATAACCGCCAAGAATTCATCGATCATTGTGGCGCAGATCTCCTAATCCACAAATCATATTTCAAGGATCAGGTGTAACTATACATGCTGGCAAAACTATAGATTCTCAAAATTCCACCCAAATCCCAAACATAATAAAATTGTCCCAAATCCTCAAATCCATAGTAAAATTCGTCCCAAATCAACCAATCCCAAATTCCAAATCCCAAATCCCAATAGTTTTGCCAACATGTATAGGTGTAACGTAAGACGGTTTTACCACAAAATCCAAATCTAGAAAACCATAATCCCGTTGTGACAATTAATATTTAAAGATTAATAATCAAATTAGCTATTATTGTCAGACTTTAAATTTTTAATTGTCACATCGCGTGATGTCAATATTATGACTTGTCGAGATTTGGGATGTCGGGATTTTGTGGTAAGACGATCAGGAAATTTCAAAAAACCTATTTTGATTGGTTGTTTATTTCTATTGAAAAATTTTTTCATAATTAGATTAGGCAAAAAGACAATAGAGACCCGTCTCCATGGTGACCCTACATATAGCAGCCAATTATATTTAGGGTTTGAAAATTTTTTTTTTTTTTTTTTTTTAATGTTAAGATGACCACTTTGGGGTTTTATTAAACTTTGAATCAAATGCCAGAGCAACCACATAGGCTATCCCTGACTTGTTACATTAATAAGGATACATTTTAGCCATACCTGTGCTTTTTGAGTGTCTAATTAAATAGTTTTTTATTACTAAGTATTACACTAGATGCTGTATCTATAACCTACTATTACTTGAGTTATCCAATTAAACCTTCTAATCAACTTAGTGCTATCAGATATTCTTTTCAAAGAAGAACTGTTGCTAAGGCTTTTTAGGACTATTTTATCCTTGTAGTAAACCTACTAGAATGATCCATGTTCCACATATGTATTACCTAGATTTTCAGTAACTTATGTCTAAACTGTAGCCAAGTACTTGTAGCTTTTATCTCTGCTACTGTTACCTACTTTGTGCTCTTGCAAAGTTCACACAAACTCCAATACCCACTTTTCGGACTTTTAACAGTACTTCAATGCTAACTAATGCTATCCCAAACTTCCAATTCAAATGGTTTAGGAGGAACCAGTAAGCGTCCTCTGGTATTCTAAATGAATACTTTTTCCTTCGGCTAATCTGGCAACCTTGTTGGTGTAGTGCTTATCAAACACTCAGTCCTCATTCAGTATATTGTTAGTGTCTAGTTCCTTAGATGATAATCTTTCATCATCACTTCAAAGATATTCCAAGATGTACAGTACCAATGGCAATTAAACAATTGCGATTATC